CCTGTGTGTGTGCTGTCTGCTCGTCATGCCAGCCGCTTGAAGCAAATCTTCGTGATTGGTAGCAAGTGTCCTCGTAGGCACTCGCCCTCTGGCTGGCTGGTCACCGTCCCTGACTTCAGCCCTGCTCTGATGTCACAGGCCAGCAGCTCTGTCATTCCCTCGGCAGCGGCCTGCCTTTGGTCAACGGCTGGGGCAGACGCCGGGCTGCTGGTGGAGGTGGGGAGCTGTGAGTCCAGCCTCCCTCGGCCAGTGCGCCCTGGAGAACCCAGTGCAGGCCGTTCAAAGCTCCGGTGGTGCCCGCCCCTTATCCGTCGTGGGGTGGGCTCCGTGTGGGCCCAGCTGTTTGCGGGGGGAGGTCTTACAAGGGCCTTGGGAAGTGGGCCAGTCAGGGTCGCCAGGCCACGTGTCCAGAAGGCTAATTTGAATTTCTTTTTTTTTTTTTAATATTTATTCATTTTTTGAGAGACAGAGAGGCAGAGTGTGAGCAGGGGAGGGGGAGAGAGAGAGGGAGGCACAGAATCTGAAGCAGGCTCCAGGCTCCGAGCCGTCGGCACAGAGCCCGACGCAGGGCTCGAACCTACGAGCCGCGAGATCATGACCTGAGCCGAAGTCAGACGTTGAACCCACTGAGCCCCCCAGGTGCCCCTAGAAGGTGGATTTGAAAGTCCTGTACTAACGGGGCTCTCCATATGCAGCTGGATGGGTGGTGGTGGCGGCTGGGGACAGGGCTGGCGCTGGAAGTCCCTGTCTGAGGGAATGGGGAGAAGTCATCGTGCGGCAACCTGGGGGTCGTGGGGGACCCCTGACCAGCACTGGGTACCTGGGGGTGCGAGGTTTCGGGGAAACCCGATGATTGACATAGTCAAGGGACGTTTAGAAAGGAAGCTCCCGGTTGGGTCAGCCGTGTCGGCCCTCTTGGCTAGCCCGGTGTCCCCCATGGGTTTGGGAGAGTCTGTGCCTCGTGTCCGTCTCTGAAGCTGGTCAGGGGGGTGTACAGATTTATAAGCCCACCCTAGGATGTGGGTGCAAAACTCTGCTGTGGGACTTGGCAGGATTCTTCTTCTACCATGACTCCCCCCTGCTCCCAGTGGTTCTGATTCGGCTGGTCCAGAAGCCCAGCTGACTTTAAGAACCACCACTCGGAAACTTGGCTGAGAGTCAGGAAGTGGGCAGACCCCAAGGCTCTGGGCAGCCCAGTGGTTGTATTGTTAGAGGCTAGAGCTCAGAGAAATGGAGTTTAACATGTCTCTGATGTTTGTTTCATCCGGGCTTGGCTTGGATGCCTCCAGTGATGGGTGTCTCACTACCTACAAGGCACCCCCAGGATTTCAAGACAGCCATTTAGCAAGTGCTCCTTTCCACCTGGCCAGTTTCCACCTCCCTGTAATGTGTTGTTGGTCTCGCTCAGTCATCTGGAGACACACACAGTCAGCACCACCCTCTTCCCCAAGTAGCTTGCCAAGCATTTGGGTGTTTCATGGTGATCAATGCCAGCATCTGTGCAGATGGGTGCTGCTGTTACCACTATTTCACAGAGGAGCAGACTGAGGCACCCAGAGTTAAGAAACCTGTGCTGGGTCACACAGTTCATACTCGTCACCACCACATCGTGCTGTTCTAGACTTTTCCATCTCCTTCAAGTTCCTCTCCAGACACTCTTGGTTCCTTAGGATTTTTCTTCCACGGACAGGTTTTTCATTCTCCTCCTCAAGAGAGGCTACAGCCCCTCCCGCCCTCCCCCCTTGTGGAACTCTCTAGTTTTTTGTGAATCCTTTCTGGGAAGACCCATCTCTCTAGTATTCAGATTTTCTCCTTAGTGAACTTGTAGTTCTCATTTATGTATATTTCTCTTTCTTTTAATGTTTCATTTTTTTTTTTTTTTTAATTTTAACCTTTATTTTTTGAGAGACAGAGACAGAGCACAAGCAGGGGAAGGGGCAGAGAGAGAGGGAGACACAGAATCCCAAGCAGGCTCCGGGCTTTGAGCTGTCAGCACACAGCCCGATGCAGGGCTCAAACTCATGAGCCATGAGATCATGCCTGAGCCGAAGTCGAACACTTCACTGATGGAGCCACCCAGGCGCCCCTGTTTATTTTTTTTTTTTTTAGAGAGAGAGAGAGAGAGAGAGACAGAGCATGAGCAGGGGAGGGGCAGAGACACAGAATCCGAAGCGGGCTCCGGGCTCCGAGCTGTCAGCCCAGAGCCCGACACGGGGCTCGAACCCACAAAACGTGAGATCATGACCTGAGCTGAAGTCGGTCGCTCAACCGACTGAGCCACCCAGGGGAAACCACGTGTATATATTTCTTAATTAGGTTAATTCCAAAGCATTTCATTAGTTACGCTTTATGAAGCTTTGCGCCCGATGCTAAGCAGACATGCTGGCTGTCGACATCTCTTGCCGTCTGTCGGCTCCGTGCACGTGGGTTGCGTCGTCTGCGTTTACGTCTCTGCGGTGCTTGGACGTTCACCGAGCCTTCCCGTGAGCCGGTCTGCCTCACTCCCTCCCGTGGGGTGGCAGCAGGGTGGGCTCCCCGGGTGTGGGCGCGCCTCTTCCACGTGCCCCCCCAGCTCCTCTGCGCGTCCCCTCCACGCCCGGCTGGGGTCCGACCGGGGCAGCGCCGGGCCGGACCGTCGCCCTGCTTGTCCGAGGCCTCTCTGTCGCCACAGGTAAAGATCACGCGCGTCCCTGCCGAGCCGCTCCCGCTTTGCGCTTGTGCAGCCGGGGCTGGGGGGGCCCACGTGTGGGTTGTAAACGTCTTCCCGACCCATCGAGTGTTGTCAGGTTTGGTCGGGTGTTCAAGCCTCTTAAAAATCTTCTGAGCTGGAGGTGTGCCTTCTAACGCCGCCGCTGGCTTTCTGTGTCCCCGCGGGGAATTGCAGGCTGGCTCTCTGTGCAGCTGGACTTGGGACGGCTCGACTCACACACTCGTGAACTTGACTCACAGAAGAGCCTGTGCGTGCCCCGTACTGCAGACTCTGTTTATTCTTCGGACACAGTTTAACAAGCTCCCTTGTGTGGATGGCAGGCCACAGGAGTTGGGAGCTGTTGGAGAAAGGAGGATAGGGTGCTGGCTGTCACTCTGTCTGTCTGTCTGTCTCACAACCAGGGAGGAGGACATAGGCAGCTATAAAGAGTCAACGTAGAGGGGCGCCTGGGTGGCTCAGTCGGTTGGGCGTCCGACTTCAGCTCAGGTCATGATCTCACGGTTCATGGGTTCGAGCCCCGCGTCGGGCCCTGTGCTGACAGCTTGGAGCCTGGAGCCCGCTTCGGATTCTGTGTCTCCCTCTCCCTTGGCCCTCCCCCGCTCATGCTCTGTCTCTCAAAAATGAATATTAAAGAGAAAAAAGTCAACCTATAAAACCCAGATTGTATTCGGGGAGGTCACTTAGTATAGAGGAACCTTGCCCTACACGTGTCTTTTTCTTTCTTTTCGTTATTTTTTTAGTTTTCTGCATTTTAATATCTTTCTTATTTATTTTTTTTTATGTTTATTTAATTTTGAGAGAGAGACAGAGCACGAGCAGGGGAAGGGCAGAGCCAGAGGGAGACGCAGAATCCGAAGCAGGCTCCAAGCTCTGAGCTGTGTCAGCACAGAGCCCGACGTGGGGCTCAAACTCGTGAACCGTGAGATCATGACCTGAGCTGACGTCGGACGCTTAACTGACTGAGCCACCCAGGCTCCCCTAGTCCTATGCATTTTAAAAGCCTTTAAGGGAATCTTTATGTTACCGTCCAAAACAGAATCTGGAGTGTTCCAAAAGAGGTCAAGTTTGATCTATTCTGTGTACTCTCAGAGGACAGAAATGATGAACTTTGCATCGGAGAGGGTAAGCCTTAATTATATGGAGATGTTCTCCCTCTCTGGCCACACCAGCCAACGGGAGCCTTTCTGTGTCTATTTTTGTGTGTTTCAAAGAAAAGGTGCTAAACCCTGTGACCCAGGCACTGAGCCTGCAGGCCTTTGGAGAGGGCAGGAGTGTTTCTCTAGTTGCTGCAGAGCCCAGGGGGCCACTGGACGTGGCTTGGGAAACGTGGGTAGGGCTGAGGAGGTGTCTGTTGGTGGAACAAGAAATTGTGCATCCGGGGCGCTGGACCCGGATGGTGGGAGGGGGGCATTTGGGAACGGCGGGGAGCCAGATCACACCCTGCCAGCAGGGTCTCCGGCCCGCAGGCCGGGGACTGTGGACCCTGGTGGGTATTGTCTGGGAGCTGGTGATTGCCTGGTGAGCCGGCCGTGCTCTGGGCCCCTCCCTGCAGAGGCTGGGACGGGATCTGCGGGCAGCAGGGCCCCGGAATCTGCATTTTCACCGGCGGTGCAGGTGACGGGGGTGCAGGCAGGCTGTGGGCTGCACCTGGAGACCTGCTGGTGTGGGTGAGAAGATGTCACAGCCCCACCACCAGCTGGGCTAGAATGGTGGCCGAGGACGGAGGAGGAGTGGCCGGGGTCAGGGCGGGGGTGGGGCACAGAGAGCCTGATTAGGGGTCTTCCGGAGGGGCTCAGGTGGGGAGGGGGCTGGGGAGGAGGCAGATCAAGGCCCTGATACTGGCTAGAGCCACCTACTAGGGCCGCCCTTCTCAAAGTATGGTCCCCCGACCAGAGTATCCCTTCCCCTGGGGGCTCCTCAGAAATCGGAGCCCCCAGCCTCACCCCAGACCTTCCGGATCAAAATCTGACTCTCCACGAGATTCAGGAAGCACTGGGCTAGATCTTGCCTTTCGATGTTCAAGTAAAATACTCGAATGGGAAAGGGGAGGGTGGTTCATTCGATGACCTCAGAGAAAAGCACCCGTAAAACACTGTGGGCCCCCCCCCCCCCCCCCCGCCGCCGCCGCCCGCTTAGCATGGAAGCTGTGCGCCTCAGAATCCCGAGAGGACAGGTGTCAGGTGGTAAGTTCTTAATTTTGCTTGCAATTTATTTATTTATTTATTTATTTTGACAGAGAGAATCCCAAGCAGGCTCCGCGCTGCCCGCACAGAGCCCGACACGGGGCTCAAACCCGCGAATCAGGAGATCATGACCTGAGCCTAAAGCAAGAGTCTGACGCTTAACCACCTGAGCCCCCCAGGCGCCCCTGGGTGATCTGACCCCCCTCAGCTGCAGGGTAGGTGTCTCAGATCAGGGGTCTGCCTGCTCAGATTCGAGTCCCTGCTGTACTGCCTCTGAGCTGTGTGGCCTCAGACAAGTTACTTAACGTCTCTGAGTCTCGGTTTCCCCATCCAAAAGTGGGGTAGGAATAGAGCTCCTCACGGTGAGACCACGTGGGAGGGATGGTCGGCTTCTACTGTGTCCCCGCTTAGTAGCCCCGTGGCGTTGTGCGTCCTGTACACGGGAGGGAGCCACGGACCCGAGACCCTCCGTCCTGCCTGCCGTCGGAGCCCCTGGTCTGGGCACCTCCCGGCCTCTAATTGTGGCACTGTTGTCCTTCCTGCTCACGGGCGCGGCATGCCCCGGAGTCTGCTGTGGGCCTGGCGCTTCCCCGCCACCCACAGACGGGGTCCCCCCAGCAGCCTGGCAGGGGCCTGTCTCTATCGGAAGGCTGTCTGAGCGACTGCCTGGGGGCGGCCGCCGCGCTGGGGCCGCAGAGGGTGAGAGAGAGAATGGGCCCAGTGTCCGCTTGGCACTAGAGGCCAGTCGGTGACCACCTTCCTTCCGTCTGCTGCTCTGAGCCAGGCTTGTGTAGGGACCGGGGCTGTGGTTTCCCCGAGGGGCGGCAGGCAGCCGGCATGGGGCGGGCAGCCGTCCAGCTCTGGGGGAACAGGCTTAGGAGACTGGAGGGAGAACCCCAGGATGCTGAGAACACTCTGGGCTTAAGTGAGCGAGCGGGGTCGGGCTTGGAGTGTCAGCACGCAGGAGCCGGGGACGTGGACGGACAGCGAGGGGGACGTCTGCTGGTTATCAGTTCTGGACTTTGTCCCCAAGACATCTTTGTCCCCAGACTTTTCCGTTTCATCCATTTGTGTGTGTCCAGGAAAACCAGCTCAGCGGCTTTGGGGTATCCGCCTCCGGGGGGCTGGCTCAGGGTGATGGACTGGCGGGGGGCACTCCAGAGTGGGAGAGTCGTGTCCAGGCTACTGACCGGGGCCAGTGAGTAGAAGGGGAGCCAGTGGACCGCCAGATCTCGGGGTACACTCTCCCCGCTCCCCGCGGGTATCTTCCAAGGCAGACGAGGGGACAGCCACAGCTCTCCAGACCTCTCTCCCCCTGTTTGGACACCACCGTGGCCATTCCCGGGTTGGGAAAAGTTCAGTCTTGGGCATCTGAGACTCAGACCCAAGCTCCCCACTTTCCCCTGGGAAGGTCGTGTCTTGGGTCACGTGCTTTCCTTTCTCTTGGCCACACGACTGCCGGGTCACCTGACAGATCTGGGTTTGCCTTTTAAAAATCGGCCAAACTCCTTCCCGAAGCAGCCTCACCATCTTGCGTTCCCGCCGGCAGTGTGTGAGGCTCCTGCTTCCTCCCCGTCCTCACCAACACTTGTTATTGTCCGTCTTTTTAATTATGGCCGTAATTTGCGCCCGGCGGGTGCGGATGGGACCTTGCTGTGGCTTCAGTGTGCGTTCCCCCGAGGACCGTCCGTGCTGAGCGTCTCGCGCCTTATTAGCGGTGTGCCTCTCCCTTAGGGAAGGGTCTGGTTTGATGTTGTGTGTGTGTGTGCCCGTTTAAAAATGGGATTGTGGGGTGCCTGGGTGGCTCAGTCGGTTAGGCAGCCGACTTCGGCTCAGGTCACGATCTCACGGTCCGTGGGTTCGAGCCCCGTGTCAGGCTCTGTGCTGACAGCTCAGAGCCTGGAGCCTGTTTCCGATTCTGTGTCTCCCTCTCTCTCTGCCCCTCCCCCGTTCATGCTCTGTCTCTCTCTGTCTCAAAAATAAATGAACGTTAAAAAAAAAAATTTTATAAAAATGGGATTGTTTGTCTTCCTGCATTTTGAGTGGTTTACATAATCTGGATTCAAGCCTTTTTTGTTGGATACGTGACTCACAGGTATTTCCTGCCAGTCTATCCCTTGTGTCCTCACTTACTAACGATGTCTCGTGGCAGGGAAATGTCTTGAGTGTCGATGGCATTTTACCAGTTTCTTTGATTGGTTGTGTTTTTGGGGTTGTATCTGAGACATCTTTACCTAACCCAAGGTCGTGAAGATGTACCCACGTTTCTTTCTGAACAGCCGTGGTTTTAGACCTTACGTTAAGGTCTGCGATCCATTCTGAGTTCATTTTTTTTCCAAAACTGACACAATGGTCAGTGTGGTTTGTTGTTTTTTGTTTTTTTTTTTTAACATTTATTTATTTTTGAAGGAGAGGGAGACAGAGCGTGAGCGGGGGAGGGCCAGAGAGAGAGGGAGACACAGAATCCGAAGCGGGCTCCAGGCTCCGAGCCGTCAGCCCAGAGCCCGACGCGGGGCTCGAACTCACGGACCGTGAGATCGTGACCTGAGCCGAAGTCAGATGCTTAACCGACTGAGCCCCCCAGGTGCCCCCTGAGTTCGTTTTTATATACAGTGTATGATTTTGTCTGTGGCGAGACAGGGGGTCTGTGTTTCTGGTGTTTGCATGTGGCTGTCCCAGCACGATTCATCGGGGGAGAAAACACCCAAACTGCTCTTGCCCCCGTTAAATTGCCGTGGCCCCTTTACCAAATTGCCGTGGCCCCTTTACCAAATTGCCGTGGCCCCTTTACCAAACCTCCATCGTTTCTCTTCTCTCCCCCTCCTCTTGCTCATAGCGGTGAGCACACTGGCTGAGCGTGACTCTGACCGCTACTGAAGGTGTATAACCGCGTGATCAGATCTACCCAGAGCCGGCGGCCCTCGGTTGGTCAAAGGCACTGTGGTTCCCCGTGCACGGCATAGGCCTGGCTCTGCCACTTGCCGGCTGTGTGATCTGGGCTAAGTTTCTTAATCGGTCCCTGCCTCTGTTTCCCCACCTGTGAACCAGGGGTGCTGATAGCTGCTTACCTTGCAGGGTTATCAGAAGAAAGATGAGCCAAAACGTATAAGGTGCGGGAAGGGGGCCCCGCACAGCGACGGTCGGCTGTTCCACGGACGTGTGCTGTGTTCCGACTCCCACCATGCCTCTGGGCTGGCCTTGCTCAGCCCACAGAAATGAGAGCAGGGAGGGGTGGTGGAGGGGCGCTCGGCACAGCCTGCAGCGGTCCAGGGAGGGGCTCCTTTAGCCCACCAGCCTGGCTCATCTTGGTATCAGCTGCAGGGGGCCACGGATGTGACTCCACACCTTTTTGGTGGAAACGCCCCTCCTTTTCTGGGAAGGCGGGCAGAGCCCGGGTCCCTTCCTGAGGCCGGAGCGTCCCCCTCTGATAATCCCACGAGCGAAGAGCTGCGAATCCTGAGAAGAGAAGCTTAACCCCCTCTCTGATTGGTTTGCCCTGGATTCTGGTGCCAAACGTGCCTGCACACGCACACCCTTGCACACGTGCACACACATCCTGCCTAGCAGCCTCCTCGTCCTCCTCCTCCCTTTCCCCCTGCCATTTACAAGCGGCTCCCCCTGCAGAGACCAGACCCTCGCCCCCTTCCGCCCCTGCCGGAGTCCCGATGCGTCTCCCGGGGTGGGGGTCTCTACCTCGGCACTGCTGACGTGTGGGGCCGAACCAGCGTTCGTCGTGGGGACCGTCCCGGGGCAGCGCGGGATGGGGAGCAGCGGCCCAGGCCTCCACATACCAGACACTGGCATGTCGTGACAGCAAAGCATGTGTCCAGACATTGCCGCGTGTCCCCTGCAGAGCAGACCCACACCCCACCGGGAACAGTCGCCCTGCGGGATCTCGTTAAAGGTGTGCAAGACGAGTTGGGAACAGAGCCTGGGCCCTGGCGGGCAGGTGTGGGCCAAAGTGATCCGGAGGGACATGTCGTAGGGCTCGTCCCGCGTTCCGAGCTCCGTGTGCCTTGTCTCCAGGGGCTTGCTCTCCTCAGAGCGTTCCAGGCTGCCGTGTGCATCTCCTGTCCTTGCGTGTCCTCAGCCCCTGGCGCCTTGGCCCCCACCACCCTCCCTCCAAAGCCGTGTCCGCGGAGGCCGCCGACATGAGAAGAAACACAGGCAGAGCCGCTCAGCCGTGTTCCGGCCCCAACCACGAAGCCCCGCTTTTGAGGCGGAAGCACAGATTGCTCCAAGCCCACGAGAGAGGAGACCTCACTCTGCAGAGAAGACAAGACCTCCAGCAGCCCCGGCGCCTGGCCGAGGGGCCGAAGTCAGGGTCCCCGAGCCCACGCGCGCGAGGCCCGGAGAGGCCGTGTTTAGCGCATCTGTTCGGTGCTGCGGGAGGACAGGCCAGGGAGCACCCACCTGACTTGGAGAGGCCTGCCCAGCGAGGAGCAGCCCGGCTGCAGGGGGCCGGGGAGAAGCACAGAGCAGAGAGGAGTCACCCAGAGGAGCCGGTGAGACTGCGGCCCCAGTGCACCAAGAGGAAGGCGGTGGGCACGGAGAAGCAGGGGGCTACCAAAGCCACAGGCCTGACCCGTCGCCCCCGCTGCGCCCCAGAGAAGAATAAGGGGGAGCGAGTGCCTTCGACAAAGACCGGCGGTGGCCGCCGTCCCGCTGACCCGCAGGTGAGCAGAGGGTTGAACATGGAAAAGCTGTTGGCTGCCGTGGAGGGACCGGAACGTCTGGAGCAAAGGGAGGGAGAAGGAGCCTGGGACGGGAGTTGGCAGCCGGGAAAGGAGGCGCGTTCTCCCGTCCAAGGCCTGGAAAGCAAATCTCTGCATCAGGGTCCCCAGGGAAAAGCGAAAGACCTAGAACGGCTGTGGCCGCTTGGCTCTCCCCTCCGAAGGGGAGCCACGTCACCCGTGTCCCTGCGCTGGCACGGTGACAGGAGCAGGTGGCAGAGGGAGCTGGAGTTTGCCTCCGAAGGGTTGTTTGACACCAAGAGAAAGCTGAAGGAACGCCTGATCTTGAACCCTGCACCCAGGCCCGGGGCGGATCACAGCCCCGGCGGGGAGCACGGCCTCTCGGGGATGCAAGGCTACGGAGGCGAGACCCAAAGAGACCAGAAGACGGGAGGTGTGGAGACGGAAATGGATCCTGGCAGGGGGTCCATGCGCCCCGCGGATGCGGACGCCCGCCGGACGGCGTCCCGAGACAGGTGGAGAAAGTTCCTGAGGAGCTCGAGAACCCCAAGTATCACAGGTTGGCCAGGCTCACGTTTACGAATGAGACTAAGCCGTCGTTTCCTGTCGGTGAAGAGACCCGGCTCCCGTGCTCCGGCTCTGGGCGGGCACCGGCCGGGCTCGACCCGCTGGCCGGGGGCCCCCGTCGCCCTGCCCCACAAGACCTGCCAGACGGAGCTGGCTGCATGGCATTGCGGCCCAGGCGGGGGGGCGGAGGCCGGGTCGGCAGACGGGACCCCAGGGGCCGAGCTGGGGAGCCCACCCCCAGATCGAGCTGGAGGAGCCCAGAGAACAGGGAAGGGCGTGCGTGGCTCTTCTGAAGTCCCCCTCCTCCCGAGACCCGGACGAGGAAGGGCCGTGTGAAGGCAACGCCACTTCCCCCTGGCCCTCTAGCTTCGCAGACGATGACGGGCACAGTCAGATGACCCGTGACCTTCGGCAGCAAATTGAAGAGCAAAACAAGTTGCACAAGCAGTTTCTCGAAGACGCCAGGAAACGCTTGCAGGAGTTCCAGAGGATGTGATAAGCGCGAGAGTTCCGCCCGCAATAAATGCACCGTCGGTACCCAAGCCCGTGCCCTCTGCGTCTGCGTCACCCGCTCAGGAGCCAGTAGGCACCCCGCTTCACAGCGGCCTCCCCGGCGCGACCGCGGCAGCCCCTGTGGGGCACAGTCCGCGGGCCTGGCCACGGGTGGGGGCTGCCCGCTCGCGCCGCTCGCACAGCGGAGACTCAGGTGAATGAAGCGTGTTTTGGCCGGACAGACACTGGACTTTCAGGGGAATCCAGGGTCAAGCAGGCACAGTTTGAGAAGTTTCAATGTGGTGTCGCTTAGCCGTTGGCCGAGACCGAAACGGGGAGATCTCACTGAAACCTCTGAAGTCTTTTTCAGACCCACAAAACCAACATCGTTTAACAGGACCTCGCTTAGTATACGTTCTTGTAACTTTAATATCAGGAAGTGAGAGTGAGGCGGAGGAGAGGCAGGAAGAGAGGGAGGAGAAGACAGAGGCGGAGGGAGGAAAGGGGAGTGGTCCCCAGCAACCGGGCCAGCCTGGCGACTTCGCCTGGGGCTGGCAGTGGCGGGGCACCTGGCCGGCTGGTCCGTGTCCCACTCCCGCTGTACCCCTGACCCAGCAGCCCTGGAGACCTTGCCCTGGGCGGCGGGGGGCGGGAGGGGGGGTTCATCTGTCAGTTGCAGATACTTAGGGGCTGGGATGGGGGTGGATAAACTTTTTCTGCAGAGAACAGGACAGTAAATTTTTCAGGCTTTGCCAGCCAGCCAGTCTGTGGCAATGACCCACAAACGCGGCCATAGGCAACTCACACTGGGATGGGCGTGGCCGGGTTCCGGTGAGACTTTATTTACAAAAATGGGGGGTGTGGGTGTGGATTGGGACCTCAAGCCATAGTTAGGTGACCCTGGACCGGCGTATGAAGGACGTGCTTGCGTCCCCCCTCCCTCCCCAGGACCTCAGGTGCACGGAGTGGGATCATCTGTCTTCGGTCGTGATGCATTTGTATCACTGGCCCATGAATGGCCTTTTCCCTTTTAACGTGCATTTCCTAACGGATGACGTCATGAACGGTTGTGAGCCCAAGGCTGGAATATTTGCTCAAAACCGGCTTCTGCCTGTGTGCTACTTCCGTTTCGTGGCTGCTGTGCCTTCTTAGCTACATGCCTGTGAACTTGGGGTTTGTCCCCCGTCCCTCCTCCTGTGGGGTGTGCCCAGGGAGATGTGGGGTGACCCAGTCACATGAGAAAGCTGAACTGGAGAGCATCGGGCTCACAGAACCCCCACATACGCCACCTGGATGGAGCAGTAACAGCACCCCACTGAGTTTTTTGGGTTGTTTTCGAATCTTCAGTATCTCGGGTGAGGAGGCTTCTGTTGCCGCGCGTTTTCGTCTCATTGAAAGCATCTCCTCGGACTCTGTTGTCGGCCTGGCTTTTCCGCTTTAGGTGGAGAAAATGTGTGATCGTTTTGTCCCCTGGTTCTGGAATGTCATGGGTCAGGACCGCAAAGCCAACTCGACGATCTGATCTAAGCCCAGTACCGTTAAGAACGAAGCCCCGGGCCGGGAGGGGTGTTGGCTTTGCGTTGCCCAGTGTTGCACATTTCAAGATGAGGTACCTGGAGCTCCTGCCTGTTCCTGAAGCTTCTCCGTGGTCGGAGAGGGTGCTGTGAGATGCCCAGGTTTAAAGCCATGGCCACAACAGGACGCAAACATTGAGTAACGAGGTCTTCTGACAGCTGGAAGCCCCGGTCTAATGAATGGACGAGCCTGCCTTGGAGAGGGTGATTTTTGTTTCTACTTTCAAAGGTAGTATTTGCGGCCCGTGTGTTTTAGGTGAGGAACTGCTCCTCCTCAGCTACACTTGAGCTAAAAGTAGATGCAGGAGATAGGCAGTGAGACATGGTGGAGGGTGGGTCGTCGCTGCCCGGACGGTCACGCCTACACTGTCCCCAGAGAGTGGGATGAGACACCCTGCCGTTTCCCACCTGTCCTGCAGGAGCTGGGGGCCAGTAGTGCAGAAAATAAGACTGCCCTCCAGCCCACCCCCGACTCCCTGTGAAGATGTCAGGTGCCCAAAGAGCAGGCTGGGGGCCTGGCAGACCCTGTCTTTGCTCCCTGTTGATCTGACCCACCTGGACTGCGGTGCCAGACGCCCTGGGACAGAGCCACCTGGAAGAGTGTGGGGCTCCTGGTAGGTTCCCACGGAGCATGCCAAGAAGCAGTGAGGACTCCTGACTCCCGGATGACTCTGTGCCCCTTCGTTCTCCCGAAGCGTTTCTTGGGTCCTCCCTCTCCGAACACTGTATTTTCTAGAACTTTCCGTGGGCTTGATGCTCCTGCTCGCATATTTTGAGGCAGCCTCCCTGTTTCTGTCTCCTCCCGCATTTACTAGAACCTTTGCCATCTGGTCGCTTCCTGGCAGTCCCGTCTGAGTCCTCGCGCCCAGACTACAGGGACTCGGGAAGGCCTCCGTGGCCGGTCTGGTGGTGGATGGGCGCCCCTGTTTGCCCAGGGGGGTTGGAGAAGGAGAGCAGCACGTGTGCGCGGCTGAGGTCCGCTGCTCGCGGGACAGGTGCAGACCTGCAGTGCCGGGACAAGAGATGGGAACGGCGGTTCACCCCGTGATGGCATGACCCCCCTCCTACTCTTGCCGCACTGGCAGGCATCGTTGGCTTTGGCTGTGACCCTGCCTTCTGTGTGTGCTGCTCTGAGGGTCCTCATACCGTCCCTGCCCCCGCCCAGCCAGGGGCACGGTCACGGGTGCATGATAATATCCAGAACCCCAGGAATGTAGAGTAACGGGGAAAAGTAAGATTTTTTTAAAACTTGGGGCCCCGGGGGACCCTCTCTGCCCTGTAGTAGTTCTTCAGACGAGCGGGAAATGTAACGTGGTAGGGAGTTGATGTATTAGCGTGGCCTGCCTCCGCGGTGCCTGTGACGGTCCGGGCTGTGTCCCAGGCATGCAGGAGATGGCTGTGAGGACCGGACAGACCTGCTGGGTCCTCTCCCACGTTGGAAGCTGGGAGCATAGGCCCTGGGATCCCTGTCTCTGCCTGAGAAATGCCGTGGGCTGGGGTCAGCGCGCAGACCGCATGCCTCAGCCCTACTCGAGGAGGGGGACGGGGGCGGGTGCTGCCGTGCCGATGGGCCTAAGCCCTGGGCCCAGCCCTCTGCCTTCACCCTGAAAGTGGGGCAGCCCGGAGCAGAGCCTAGCCCGGGGTCCCGGCCTGCCAGGGGCAGTGTGAGGACGCCCCAGCCCCCAGCCCCTCCGTGCCCCTTCCTCAGCCTGCCGATGGGGAGGGATTGCAGGGGGGTGGCCAGATGCTCCCTCCGCGCCTCCCTGGGCTCCCTCTGCCTCCTGCCCCGCCCCGTCCAGCGGCTGCCCCCCGCTGCGGGCTCCAGGCCTGGGGTTTGCGGGGCTGAGCTTGGCTGCTCCTCGGGGTCTTGGCGGAGAAAGTGCAAAGCAGCAGTCCCTTCCACAAAGCCGCACTGTTCTCAGCAAATCCTCCCAGGATCGGGATGCATTTTTTTCAAGTGATTCAGCAGCACGTGAATGGGAACGGCCTGAGCCCAAGGCTTCGGGAACCGTGACCAAGGCCTCTGGCATGAGATCCCGCTGGGCTCACAAGGAGAAGGAAGGGTGGCGGGGCGCAACTCAGGGGCCTGCCAGGGTCCTGGGGGGGCGGGGGGAGGGCGGCCGAGTAGCGAGGGCCGAGGCTCTTCTCTGCACAGCTGATGAGCTCTTAGAGACGGCTTCCTCCTGCTCCCGAGGGGGCCGTGGAGGTGGGAGTGCTGGTCTCCATGGAGACAGGGCATCCAGTGGACAGCAGCTCAGGCGAATGTGCTAGAATCTCGAATGGCCCAGGGCTGGGCCCACACTGCTGGTTCCTGTGCTCTCTCGTGCAGCCCGTCACCCTCCCCGACGCGTCGGCCCCCATAGACACATCTGCTCCTGGGGGTCGTGAGTGCAGGCATCTCCAGCACCGGCCTGAGTCCCGCCGGCCAAGCCTTGCCCTCACCCTGGATAGGCACAGCCCTGCCCCAGAGCTGGGGATGTCAGCACCCCCCCACCCCCACCCCAGGATGAGGAGGCTTGCAGGGACCCGAAGGTGCCATCTGGTCTCCCAGTGCTGCTGCTCAGTGGAGGAAGCCCCTGGTTGCCTCCTGGCACCACGGGGAGGCCTTTAATTGTGAAATGATGCCTCTTCCCCCTTCTCAGTTCCCTAAAAAACTTGGCCTTGGAGGAAGTCTGCTGCACTGCCGACCCGAGAGCGGCCGGGCACTGACACCAGGGAAGGCAGAGCCAGGTGTTTGGGGAAAGCCCTCACCACCGTGTCCACCGAGGGGCACCTACAAAGCTGGGGGGCGGGCACACGGTGAGACCAGAGGGGCAGGTGGGGCCGGACGCTCCTGTGCGCTTCTGGGTGCTGAGCCAGCACTTGATGTCCTTGTGGCCTCTCCCAGGCTCTCTGACCACAGCCCGCTTCCTCGTGGTGCAGTTCTGGGGGGAGGGGCATGGCCTCAAGCCCCGGGGGGTCTGAGCAGGCCTGCAGCCCACGAGAGCACGGTTCCCTTTCTGGGTCACTGTCTGCCCTGTCCCCCACCGTGCAGCTGGTGAGGTCCGCCCACCCTGCTCGCCATGCAAATGCAGTCCCACTGGAGGGGTTCACAACCGTCTTTCCCGTGCCCCCCCACCAGCCACCGGAAGTGCTTTAGTCACATGCAAGCAGTTAGGGAATCCCACGGCAATTGGGGGCCCCGAAAACCTAGTAATTTTGTTACAGCTTTTGTGGGGCAATGCCACAGCTGTTACCACTGGGCTTAGATGCTGGACGGGGGCACCCCCTCACTTTCCCAACTCTGGCCTTGAAGGTGGGATGGAGGGGCCCCCTCCAGGGCGTGTCCCGGGGCCAGGCTATCCTCAGCCAGGCTTTAGACACGCTCATTACCTTCAAGGAGC